TCAAAGCTCATTCAAGAATGGGCCATGTAAAAGGAATTTTCATAGTGTCTGTGTTGCCAATCAGACAGCAGTTTGTAAATCAGTAGGGCCCCTTTTAAAACTGAAATTCATTAAGTGGACAGACTTCAGAGCAACATTGTATGTGCATACGCAAGAGGGAAGGGGAAAAAACATGGGGGGCCGGGCATGTTGTTAGCATTTGACATTTTTTTTTTAGTGAATCCCAAGTCATTAAAGCTCTAAACAAGGGACAGAACTAACAGAGCATTGCCAGTGGGTAGCACGCCTGCTGGCATGGCTGCAATCCGATACAGTGCTTGGCTAGCAATTAACAGGCCTAAGCTCAAACTCGTATATTTCACTCATGGTTTATTTCATTCTCAGACCTCCCCCCTCATCAAGTCTGCCATTCTGTTCACTTTTATGAGCCTGCTATCTAGTCTGTCATGATTCTAATTGAAGCTCTGAGGCTGATGGTCCAAAAATAATTGGGCAAGTTCCTTCCTGTTTCCTCTATTTCCTTATTTAATTTACCAACATGTGGCACAAAAAAACAAAAAACACCCAACACTAACAAGATTTCCAGCAATGAACTTCTACCTTTACCAGGGAGCTCTCTTAAACTGCAGTTAAGAAATATAAAATTAATATATTTTATTGAATTGTCTGAAATATCTAAGTAATAAAAAGTCTCTAAACTTTATAAAGTGTTCCTGCATTGTCTGAAAGTACATTTTAATATCTTATTCTTTCTTATAATCAAACTGTCGACATTTGATCAGATATGAGAATTGTAATTTAAGTGATGGAAGGTAACATCACTTTCCTTAAATATATGAGGTTAGGAGCACTGAAAAGTATCTAGTTCTATGCAACGCCAGCTTTCTCTCTCCAACTTTGTCAGGATTGCTTAGAAGCCAGAATTTCTAAGTACTCCCCACTTTTTCTTTCCAAATCCTGGAATCCAAATGTAAAATCGCTATGGTCTGTATGACCTCAGCTGACTTGAGTAAATAATAAGGTTGCTTTGAAAGCAAGCACTTCCTTGCTGCAGCACATACAGTTTTCACCAAGGAAGATTCCTGATTTGCTTGGTGAAACAAAAGACAGGACTATGCAGCACTTTAAAGACTAACAAGCTGGTTTATTAGGTGATGAGCTTTCGTGGGCCAGACCCACTTCCTCAGATCAGTTTGTGGAAGAAAATTGGCACGACCACATATACCAAAGTGATACAAGAAAAAAAAAGTGAACACATATAAAATTGACAAAACAGATTTTAGAACAGAGGGGAGTTGAGGGGGGAAGGTTAGTGTCTGTGAGGTAATGACATTAGGGGTGATAATTGGGGAAGGTATCTTTGTAATGGGTGAGATAGTTAGCATCTTTGTTAAGACCCATATGTAAAGTTTTGCTTGGGTTATTTTTTTCCTCTGTGACTCTGCTCTTTTCACTGTTGGGTGAAATTATTTGTATTGCTGCATAAAGAGTACATCATAAGTCCCAGACACTCTCCCCCCAATTTGTGCAAGTTGATTAGAATTCCAATGGAGAGAAGTAGTCTACTTTTTAAAAAGAACAGCTTTTAAAATATGGCAGATTTATTTGATCTAATCTAAGTTTAATCTGATAACTGTACAGTAGAAAGAAAAGAGACCTACTTAGCAAGAGGGCTGAACTGAAACACGAGCCCTGACACCTACTGAACTTGGTCACTTGCCTCAGATCGGTCTCAACCAGAACACCACATTTGGCCTCCTATCTTCCATCTGAAAGAAGTTTTCTTTCTACTCTGCTCTCTTCTGATTCTCCATCTATTTCTGCTCTTCTTCACTCCAAGTTCAACTTCTTTCAGCTTTTTCTAACTAGCACCACATTTAAGATGTCCATGTGTACAGCATTACCATGTGATTAATCTGATATTTGTCACGGCTGAATCTAGGTGGACTGAATATAATAAATGCAGGAGTCAACCAGGGAAGATATGCCACACACTGCATAAATTTCACATTCCCTTGGATTTTACTACCTCGCTCTCTTAATTATGTACATTATAGTCAGTGTACATCTGCAAATAGTTCCAAGAGTGCTGCAGTTAACATGAAAGAGATGACAAGAGACAGCTGAGAAGCGTCAAAGTCTGATTGATATTTTATTGAAATGAAATAGTCTCTAGCTAACTTTTGGGATGTGCATTTGTTTCTCTTAGGACTGTGGGCTCCAGCTCAATGATGAAGAAGGCCATCGTTGCTATCCTTTAGAGGGCCACCTACTCTGTCATGGCTGCCATATTAGACGCCTCAATATCAAAGTGCCACCCCATCCACCTCCAAGCTACCCAATGCACGTTACAGAACTCTGAAAGAAACTTTCTATAGGGATGAACGTTAGAAAGAGAAGATGGAAGACTTAAAAATGACTTTCTAGCTTTTAAAGATGAAATTCCTCTAATAACCCTCTAAACCAGCTAAGTTATTTATTTTTTAAAATCCTGTACGTGTTTCCATTTACCTTCAGCGTTGTCACTGAGACCACTTGAAAAAAGTATGCACCATTCAAACTGTAAGCAGCATTTCTCAATACGGTCATACGGAAGTCTCTGTTCTCCACGCCTTGTTTGCTTCACTCCCGTGGGAGTTTTACCTGAGCAAGGAGTGTAGAATTAATCCCCCAAAGTCAGTGAGGGTATGTCTACACTGCCCCGCTAGTTTGAACTAGTGGGGTAATGTAGGCATACCGCACTTGCAAATGAAGCCCGGGATTTGAATTTCCCGGGCTTCATTTGCATAAACTGGGCCGCCATTTTTAAATCCCTGCTCGTTCGAACCTGCTAGTTCGTGCCGCGTGGGGTTCGAACGAGCAGGGTTTAAAAATGGCGGCGCCCAGTTTATGCAAATGAAGCCCGGGAAATTCAAATCCCGGGCTTCATTTGCAAGTGCGGTATGCCTACATTACCCCGCTAGTTCGAACTAGGGTGGTAGTGTACATCACTGCAAGTGTGATAAGATAAATGCTCACTTTTTAGCTAGTCCCATTGTATCCTGGTCTTAGAGTGTAAACGTTCTCACATTTCTGGAATATTTAGATTCCCAGCAGTTGTCAATAGGAAGCAAAGTAAATATATTTTTAGTAATGAAGCTCTTCAAACTTGGGTCAATTATGGTATTGATGGCTATGAAAAACTTCAAGCCAGTGTACTTGGTATCAGTGTTCCAACAGAGTATTTAGCCTGCTGCAGAAACATGGCAGGTGTCTTCTATTGGAAGTACATTACAGAAGAATGTGTCCATTTGAAAAATTAAGATTTTTTCATAGAGGATTATTGCTTGTGAAGAAGGTTCTGTCTCTTCATCATAACTTGCCACTTACATGCTTGGTTGGTTTTTTTTGTTTGTTTTTTTTGTTTTGGTGGTTTTTTTTTTTTTTTTTTTTTGTAGCTTCTAGTGACATGAAACTATCGACGGCTTTAAAAGCATTTGTCATTCCTCTGGTGATCTGGCACTTACTAAGCAATCCATCTTTGAAACCTGTTTTTGTAACTAGGTTTTGCTGCAAGGGGACACGTTTATGTCTTTATCTACTTGTTTTATACAAGACTTCATTTGTCACAAACTTCTTTGCCATTTGTCACAAACCACTGCCCAATTTAAAAAATTATAATTTGTTCAGTTTAATGCGTTCTTTACCAGATGTAATCTTGAATTACTGTAGTGATCATCTTTGAAAACCAAGCATGAGTTAGCAAAAATAATAATTTAGAGGTTCAAACAACTGAAACAGAAATTGGTATTTTATAACAAGTATTAGATGTACATAGAATGTACACACTTTCATCTTTTGAATACGTTTTTACAATAACCTCAGAACTCTGGGGCAATATATATCTTCCATATAGGAAGTTAGATTAATCTTTTTTAATACTTGTTTTCTGCTGTGCATTGATTTACATACAAACCACACATCTGTATGTTTAAATAACAGATAAGTTCCATGTATTCTCATGAGAATTGATCTATGCTCTCCTAAAATTATTTTATAGCTTGAAATATGACCATCACTCCCTTCCTTACATGTATTTAACTGACAAAATTCTTTGACTGAATTAAGTGAAAATATCAGGCCAGAGTCTCAACATGTGTAAATTGACAGAACTGCAGAGGCGTCATGAAGCTATGCAGATTTATATGACCCGAGAATCTGGCCCACTAATTTTAGAATTGTCACCAGGTGAGTTCCCTCAAGCTAATTAATGAAATAGTTATTATTTGGCAACAGCATTGAAGTGTAGTATCTAAAGCAGGGGTGGGGAACCTAAGACCGGGGACCGAATGCCTGGATCCAGCCTTCAAGGCTCAGGGCTCTCCATCCACCATTGGGGAGCCCATGCTGGAGTTTCAGCCCCTGACACCCACTGACTCCCGTGGGGCTGGAACACACAAAATCTGGTAGTCTGGGTGGGCCTCCATAGGCTCTGATGTGCAAGGAGGGGAATGTTGGAAGTGTCTTTCTGCTTTTCAGTTGGGGGCCACATCAGAGAGAGGTGGGAGGGTTTTTTGCTTTGGTTTGGTTTGGTTTTTTATTTTTGCGGGCTCTGACTGAGTTTTCTATGTTGTCGGCAGCCCTGCCCCAAAAAAAAGGTTCCTCACCCCTGATCTAAAGACTCCATTGATACAATAAGACAATTCAGGGTATGGTTGGAAAGCACAAGGAGTCACCAATGGATTAACTCATGAGAGTCTCATTCCCCTTATAGAGCTTTTTGATATTCCAAAATATCTTAATGGTAGAAAAAATACATTATTTGGTGATAGCAAGAGGTGAATGCAACAGTTCAGAAACTGCTGCTGAATTATCTAATTGGCAAAGATTAATCTACCCACCTGAATGCTCCTCAGTAAGTCCAATGTGCCTTTAACCAGTCATTTTATAATTAATATCTGGTTTAATTAAGGTGAAATCCATGTTTGGGAGCACTGCTAATGCTACTAGTAAACTCTTCCTATAGTGGTTGACACAATAATTCTGATTTTCTGGAAAATGAGAACAGCTTTGTTCATTTATTTGTACACCTTTGTGTGCATAGTAACTAGGATTGCACATACAAAATGACTTGAAAATACATGCTTGGGCCTCTCATTCCTGAAATCTAAGCTGTAAAAGATAAAAACTGTCCTTCTGACACATCTGACTTTAACTGAAGTAACTCAAGGAATTTGCCTATTATTGAAAATACCAAACTGAGGATGTCAAAGCTTCGAGAGGTAAATATTCTGTATTAGTCACAGTATAATACTTTTCTATTTCATTAGACAGTTTTGGACCATTCTTTGCTTGAAGGCATTTTACTAGCATGTGTTACTGTTAAAATATATGTATAAAAACCCCACATCTAGAAAAACAAACATATAGAAAATTTGGGTCTGTTCACATAAGCAAGCCAACCCAGAACAGTGCTTTCTACTGAAAAGTGCATTTGCTTCAGGAGACTGGGAGCTAGAACTTCACAGAACCATAGAAAACAGCGATGAAAGAAACCAAACTAAGTAATTTAGGCCATCTTCAGCCAATATATTAGCTAGTGTGTGGTCTGTTTTAGTGGCAAGTTTGTAACTTTTCACTCCTGCATTGCTTTTCAGTGGACAGCACTAGCTAACATGTACATACAATACTTCTTTGAAAACTTTCATTCTTTAGAACAGAATAATACTGATTTTCACATTTTAATTTTTCAGTTCTTTCTAGTAGTTCTACTCAACACCAATATGTGTTAAGTATCTTCATGGTAAAATGTTGAAAAATTATGTTTCAATATAGAAAGAGCAGTTTGTTTAAAACCAGAAAGCAGCAGTTGTTCTTCCAGTATTTTCTATAGGCAGGGGCATTCTATTAAAACACTGTAAATTACAGCGAGAGAGAGAGAGAAAGTGAGAGAGGCAATATCTTTTATTGGAGCAATTTTTGCAGGTGAAAGAGCTAAGCTTTTAAGCTACAGAAAGCTCGTGTTCAGATCAGCTGGTTTTTACACCATTAATAATAGAGCTGGAATATAATTGGTATAATTAAATTATTAATTATTATTATTAATAAGAAAGAATAAGGGGAAAGCTATAAGCAAATCTGAAGTGACATGCTGTACAATTTAGTATTAATGACAGTTCCTGTGCTTTTTACCTCCTGTCTAGGGAATTGTATAAACGAAAGCATCTAATGCTTTGCTTAGGGAGTATTATATCAGTCAGTTCAACACAGATGTAAACTTCCCAGTATTGTTTTACAACATAATTATTTATTGGAAATCTTTTCTGTATTCTGTACTTTCAGAATATTTCCATCAAGTTACAGCATTTTATAACTTGTTCTCATTTGCATCATGAGAACTCAGGAATAAACCTTTCATATTTATTTCATTTTTGTGGAAAACTTCTCCAGTGTCCCAAAAGGATGTGGCCATTTTAGGAGATTCACAGAGTCCCTAGTGCACTGGAAAATACGTTCCAAAGAAAAGACCAAAATGATGATTTGGGAGAAGAAGGGGGAATCTCAGATAACTGAGCTTTCAAAAAAAAAGGGATTTTTGTATATTTTGTAAAGTGGGGCTTCAAAAGTAAAGTATGGATGGGAGAGCTCTTTAAGACAAGAAATTCCAGAACAGTTAAGTAAACCAAAGCTCTAAAGGAGGCACACAAAAGCTGCTTTCTTGTGTTTCAAGGAAAGTTTAAAAGTTTATGATTCATCATGCAACTAATGCCATAACTAGAGTATATAATTTGACTTAAATTAAGTTTTCCTTTGAGAATATTTTCATTTTCTTTAAAAGAATATAGTTTTCTTCCAAGAACTTGGACCAACATTGATTTTTATTTTGTAGGAGATATATAAATTCCATGTTTGTATATCATGTAACTAGTTTACATGCTGCAAATATACATTAGTTTAACTATTTTTGTATATATCCTTGTAAAACTTCTAAATGTGCTTCTCTGTTTTTAGTCCCTAGAATGACTTGTGGTTTTTATGTTTCAGTGTTTGATTCCCTTGATTGTTGAAGAAAAAAGATTGGGAAATGTAGATTTATTTATCTAAAGAAGAAGCTACTTGCTATCATCCTAAGTTATTTAATATTAAAAGTCAGAAGTTTCATTTAACCTTAGATGTCATAATCTGCTTTTTTCAATAAAGACATTTTGTAGTTATCTTTGATTTTGTAATCTGTTGCTTGGGAATAAAGAGTTTATTTTAATTTATGTGCCAGTAAAAACATTTTAAGAGGTTCTTATGCTGTGTACAGAAATGCCAACTGATATTAACTGATTCATAAAAGTATTTGATTCTTCAGTGCAAGTGCAAATAATTAAGATCTAAAATATCTCAGAAGGGAATTAACCATTCTGGCTATTTCATACACATAGCACTTGGTTTAGATCAACACATACCTCTAAAGGCACCTATTGTTTCATAAGGTGTGCACTTTCCAGCAGAGAGGTACTAACCTGGGACATAATCCTGCAAAGACTAAGCAGGATCAGGGACCTGGTTTGAATAGGTGTTTATCTATCCCTGATGACAACCTCATTACCCAGCTTACTTTATTTTATGAGTGTGTCGATGAGTTTTACTGTTAGCCACTCACAGTGACACACTGGCTGTGTCTAGACTGGCAAGTTTTTCCGCAAAAACGTCTGCTTTTGCAGAAAAACTTGCCAGCTGTCTACACTGACGATGTCTTGTAAGTGTTC